AAGGATTACCTAGTACTTCGTTTCGTGCTAATGAAGTTTTGTAAATACCAAAATTGTAAGTGTATTCTTCTCTATTTTTGTTAATGGATATCCAAAACTGTAAGTTGGTCCTAGAAGTTGTAAAATTAGTCGAATCCACCTCAAGAAAAGAAGACTGTTGGATCTTCATTCGTAGTTAAGTTTTTTTTTCCCTGATCGTAGAATAAGTCGTCTTTCACCGTCAATGGAATTTAGTGGTTGAACTAAACTCAGTATATAAATTTATAAACATTGACAGAAAAAAATTATACACCTAATATATTAAATACAACACAATAATATATATTGGGATGGTTGAGCACTTAATGTATGAAGTTGTTACTTAGCCCTTATAAAAGAGAGGGATTGGCCTAATACATGACCGACAAAACCCTTCAATTATGGTGATCAGCTACAAATTATTTTCTTATATTTTGTTTGCCAATTCCCAAGTTTGAACCAAACTATATTTGATTAATAAGATTATTCCCTTGCATTTAAAAGATTTTTATTTTTTACTTCATCACCGAATAATTCTTCACTGATTCCTAAGGTATATTGTTATACATTCGCTTTGCCCATGGTAAACCTCAAATTTAATACCATACACAATCTACGATCAGTGGTCCAGTGGCAATCTATAAATAGCATTTTGAAATAGTACAAATCATAAATTGCAGAACAAAATTATCTGCATGGGAAAGATCTATAATTAAAAAAAGATAAGTGTTTCTATAAGAAAAAAGAAACTTGTATTGGTAGAGAAGTAAACTGATAGTAGATTAATTTAGTAGAGAATAAAGCTAATATAATAAATAAATTTATTTTAAGTTGTAATTATTTGTTAATAATTTTTAATAGAAGATTATTCGTTTGTCAACCAGATCATAATACTAAACATCACCATAAATCTTTTGGAGGCTAGACAACATATGGCATATATTGGCATGCCACTACACACCCCAACCCACAAAGAGAGCTCTAGAGACCGTACGTAGTCTAATTATGCCTCCTTTAGAAACCTCGGTGGCATGTATCGTCCATTCGGGTTTCAATATTTTTAGTTTTTGGACTCTTTAACAGATGATAACTAGACACGTTTTTTCCACATACGTGACAAACCAAGAGCCGTCATGCCGTAATTATCAATGTCACGTCTTATCCACTAAATAAGTAAGTTTATATGACTATAGCAACCTCATCGAATCAGATAATTTCCTCATATCAAACCAGTTCTATCCAATAACTAAATAATTTTTAAAAATTTAGATTTCTACAAATTTATATATTTGAGAACTAGGAAGTAATCCGAATTTTTACCATCGACTAATCTTTTTAGGGTGAGTATAGCTATCGAATAGCCTATGCACCCAATTTCTCAATAGATTTAAACTATAATACCAAATAGAATGATTTAGTAAATTTATGAGTTGGAGAAAAATTGATATCTAGTCTGGACTTACATGATAATTCATTATCAAGTAGAAACCAATAGAATGCTACCATTTGGTCAATTTCTTATAGGGAAAAATGTCGTTTAATAGCCGAACTTTCAAAAAATGGCCATTTTAACTTCGAACTCTGTAAATGGCCATTTTATACTTGAACAAAAAGTTGACCAGCCATTTGAAACAAGAAAATGTGTTGACCAGGCCAAAACGACACACCGTTAACACTCGCTAACAGAGCCGCTAACACCTGTTAGCAGCCGTTAACGAGTCTCCGTTAGTACCGAAAACGACGTCGTTCTACCCTTAAACCAAACCCCAAAATCGATTTTATCCCCAAATCATAAACCTCAAATCCCTAAATTCCAATTCTTTGAACTTTCAATTTCAATCTTCAACGTTCCCAATTTCAATTCTTTGAGTCTTCTCTACCACAAGACTCTGATACAACATTGGTTTGAGCTTGCATTCCATCTCCGATACCATCTTCTTCGCCTCGCGGTGGTGCTTCAACTCTATCTCTCATAGAACTCTCAGATTCGCCAAGCATTGGAGAGCACATCCTCAAAATGACGCCTTTCTGTCTAACTAGTGGCATTAGGGAAGACGAATTGAGAATTTGGGTTACGGATTAGGGATTTCGTTTACGGATTAGGTTTAGGGATTTGATCTCTCGATTTGGGGATAATTTTCGATTTGGGGGTTTAGTTTAGGGTAAAACGACGTCGTTTCATCATAGACGGAGACTCGTTAACGGATGTTAACGGGTGTTAGCGGCTCTGTTAGTGAGTGTTAACGGTGTGTCGTTTTGGCCTGGTCAACACATTTCCTTTGTTCAAATGGCTGGTCAACTTTTTGTTCAAGTATAAAATGGCCATTTACAGAGTTCGAAGTTAAAATGGCCATTTTTTGAAAGTTCGGCTATTAAACGACATTTTTCCCATTTCTTATAATATCGTAGAAATGAGTTAAAATCAAAAATCAGTTTTTTTTTAATACTTACACCCCCCAAACAAATGCCCCACTGCCCTTGGTCTTATTGTATAAGAAAAAAAAAAGGATAAGCCGTAATAATATGGTAAATAAATCAACAGATTCTTGATTTGCTTGTTACGTCTTCTGTCAAAAATCTTCTAATCTACGAATGAGAGCGGTCAAAAAGGGCAGCTAAAGGCTCTCTACAAAATAAACAAGTACTAAGAAAAAAGAGCTAAAAGAAACCGGAAAATCCGAGCGCTCCATGAGCCGAGCCGGGTCCGAGCCGATGAGTAATAATCGGGTGAAACGCAGATTCAAATACACTCGATATAGCAAAAGACGACGGAAGCAAATTAACGGTCAGGATTGTCAGTTCGGGAAAAAGTTATGGGACCCACGTATCTAAAATGGGAATCTTTCTGATGTACGGTTGGATTTTCATGCTTGTGGACCCCACTTTTCCTCCATACCTCACTACACCCCACGCCTCATTATTACTCTCTCTTCTCTCTCTCTCTTTTATTAATTAGTACTAAGTCATAAATTTAAATATTTCCTTACTTCGGGTAATTAAAGAGAAAGTACGTTACGAAACCAATAAAAACAATCAATTAATCAGAAGAAAATCTCGGAGAAGAAGAGTTGAAAATATTTAGTGGGTACACATGTTTGAAAAGTAGTGTGTAGTAGTGTTAATAGGAGTTAGAAAAAAAGTGATTGGTACGAAATGTTTTAACTTAAAAAAGAGAAGATCACAGAGAATCTGAGGACTGTAATTGCACAAAATCCCTCCCGATGACTTTGTATGAAAAGGACACAACTATACAAAGAGACAGGAACAGCAAGTGGAACATGTGAGTGATTGCACAACTTCATCTAATGGGTCGTTTTTATATTGTTGGGGGGCAAAGTTTTTATATTTGATACGTTTTTAGTTGTGTACACTGTTCTTTTTTATTGGAGTTTTAGGTTATTGTGTTTTTGTACTGAATTGCAGAATAATTATGATGGATTTACTGTGTGTGTATGTTTCTTTTTGTAATGTTGTACTTGCTTGGAATTGAATCCTAAAAATGTTGGTTTACTATCTAAGTCACTCAAGACTGAGTTTTTACGTTTGTTTATAGTAAGGCTCTTAAGTCTTAATAGTAAACATAAGAAGGCTAAATCTAATATATAAAAATGATATATGAATGACTAATAAATATTACTATATACTCCCTCTGTTCCAAATTATAAGATGCTTTTGTTAAAAGCACAAAGATTAAGAAGTAATAAATGTTTATTTATTTATAAAAATTTAACCAATAGAAAAAAGGACAGCAGAATTCAAAAGGTCATAAATAAACTAAATAAACATAAATTATGCATAAAAATCTGAAAAAATCTTATATTGTGGAACAAGAAAAAAAGGCTTAAACATCCTATAATTTGGAACAGAGAGAGTACCGTTTATGCAAATTAGTTGATTTTAAATTGATTAGTTTTTGGTTTCATTATATAATTGAGTATTCTTACGATTTATTTGTCAATAATATACATTACACGGGTTTGAACTAAATGTTAACAGAACGATCATACTAGCGAAAACAACATGCCATGGTCTTTTTTAGGACACTTTTTGTGATAAAGATTTAGAAAAACAAATCATTTAAAACCTTCTATCAAATCAGGCAAACAAAAACAAAACCTTCTCTGTTTATTCTAAAGACGCAATCAATGCATCGTACATAAATCATAGGATTCTCTCTATTATAAATAGTTGATTTGGACAAGTTGATTTACAAATTACCATGATCAGAACTTGATTGGCAATTTCAAATGAAATTTGCTTGGTTAATTTGCGTATGTGTGTGTATGTATGTATAAATCGTATGATTTAGTCGGCGACTTTTTCGTTAAAACAATTGGGCCGAACCTTCATTCATGCATATGTAATACAAAAAGGAATAAACCATATGAGTTAGTGTGAATGGCAGATGAAATGATATCATTGTATGGGCTTTTTGGTATCATTGGGCTTGGATTGATTTATATGTTTAAATCAATACTTTCATTTTAAGTAAAAGGCTTAATACATTTTTTGACCCAACAATGACTCAAGTTTCAAATATCTACGAGTGGGTAAGAAGGGGGAGATTTATATAAACTTTATGTGTTGGACATCGTGAAAAGAACCGTGTCGGTGTCACACAAACTAAAGTATCACCGATCAAACAATTTATAGTGGTTTGTTTGTAAAAAATCTTCCCTCTAGTGTACATACATATGATGCAAGGAGACACTAAACGAGTACCCCTTTTTAAATTACAAACCCATTAAGCCCATTGAGCCAAAATAAAATCCTAATGTCTTTTTGTCTGCTTCATTTCTTCTGGACTCGTGTTATTAATAAAAATCTTATATATTCATGTCTTTTTACTTCATCCCCAAAAAAAAAAAACATTTGGGATCTTCCAAATAATACTAAGGAAACAAAACTTAGAAAATAATGAAACTGTTGTGAGGAACTGAAATTACGATATAAAGAGGTAATGAACACAGAACTAATTAAATAGCACCAGTGGTCTAGTGGTAGAATAGTACCCTGCCACGGTACAGACCCGGGTTCGATTCCCGGCTGGTGCACTTGCTTTTTTTAAATCCTAGAGTGATTAATTTTTTAGGTCAACCGCTGTCAATTTTAATTATTTTGTAATGCTATATGTCGAACTCTGATCTAAATCTAGATCAATCACAATCAAGTCAATGTTTAAGTTGTTAAACCAACAAAATGGACCGTCTTCGTAACTTCTTCCTCCTCTTCCTCTCCGCAGCTTCTTCAGCCACCGCAACGTGGCCGGAGAAACCTCATGCCTTCATCCAAACGGTGATCAAAGATCCAACCACAAATCTCTACTTCACATCCATGGACATAGGAACCAACAAGACAGTGGTCTCCCTCAGCTTAGTCATTGACCTATCTCAACCTTACACGTGGTTCGACTGCTTCTCCGGCTACTACTCCGTTTCTTACACTTCGATCGATTTCCATTCCCCCAAATGCAAACTCCCCAAGTTCTCAAATCCTCACAACGTACCCAAACCAGGTCAGCTTTTCAACAATTTTCAAGTTTAAAACAGAGCAAGTTGTGTCAATTCTTTTTAAAAAATCGATTTTTTATTTTATACAGATTGGTATGTCTGCTCCGGCGCCGGAGAAAAGGTCGAACCGGGATGCTCCGACCATCCTTGTGGAGTAAACCCGTACAATCCCGTGGATAACACGTTACTTAATGGATCCTTGAGTGAAGATCGAATGTTTTTCTATTCTATACCTGATGGCTTAAGCTTCGGGTATCGACTCAACTCGCCGCCGGTTATATTCGCTTGCGTTGGCCGTAAAAGCTATAACGGGTTTCCGGCGGAAGCTCAGGGAATGCTTAGTTTGTCTAGAAACCCACTTTCTCTCCCGTCGCAACTCTCTTCAGCCGTTAACCTCTTCCCGCAAAAATTCGCACTCTGTCTTCCTTCTAAAACAGAGGACTCTGGTTTCGGTGACCTTTTCATCGGCGGTGGTCCATACTTCCTCCCGCCGTACCAAGAAGACGCTTCTCGTCTCTTCACCACCGTCTCTCTAATCACCAACGCAGCCTCCTCCGATGAATACTTCTTCCAAGTCAAATCAATCAAAATCGACGAAAAGGTGGTTCCTTTGCGGAATCCGATACTGTCTAAGCTCAGCACGGTGGTTCCATTCACCGTTCTGCATCATTCGATTTACGAAGCTTTTGTTAAAGAGTTCAAAGCCAAGGCTTTGTTGAAGAAGATGGTCGAAACGGAGACGATGGTGTCTCCTTTCGAGTTATGTTATAGAATGAAGAAGAGTTTTAAAATGGAAGATGTTCCGGTGATTGATCTAACGGTGGGGAGTGGCGACGGGAGATGGAGAATCTACGGCTGGAATTCAATGGTTGTTGTGAAGAAAGGAGTGATGTGTTTGGCGTTTGTGAGAGGAGGAAGAGATAGAGAAGAGATTGTGATTGGAGGATATCAGATGGAAGATAATTTGGTGGAGATTGATCTTCAATCATCAAAGCTTAGTTTTACATCTTCTCTTCTACTATATAACACTTCTTGTTCTCATTTTAGACCAATTTCAACAGATTGGTGGCGTAATAAAACATTCGTGATAGGTTATCATTTTCCATTTGATTTCCTACTCAACATGTAATGAAATTCATTCATTTGTTGTGCTGAGATTTTTACCATGTTATATCGTGAGTCCCTCGGTGTATATTCATTTGCTATACACCGTTTTGGGTGTATAGCAAAGAGACGGTGTCTCGGAAGAGACGAGATTTGATGGGATGGACAGTGAAGGAAGTGGAGAAGGATTTGTGACACGTGGCTCTCTTTTTGCTATTGTTGGGACATGAGAGTAAGTCCGGTTTGGCGTAGTTGCATCTAGAGGAGCCGCATTTGATTGGATGGTAGGAAATGGATTTGGCGGCGGCGGCGCAAGTTAGCAAAAACGGCGCAGAGCCACCGAGGTCGATGGCGAGGTTGACACTGATGGGTAGATTGCTTACACCGTTGGGCTTTGACATGCCGATGGATAAAGGACAGTAGTAGAGATTTGTGGCATCGTCTTTACGAATAGGTTGTAGGAAAGCTTGAATCTTCTCGAGGGAGTGTGAAGTGTTTGCGAGTGTGAAAAAGATTAAGCAGAGGAAATGGATTATACGAGGAGGAGCCATATTTTCGTTCTTGTGAGTTGTTGTAATGAGGATATTAGTAAGAGTTTTTATAGAGTGAAATAATTTTTTGACCTTAACTTATGATCAGTGTAATAATCGTGTGATCAAACTACCCTCTCTTCACTTACAGGCACTCACGTAATTGTTGTAATTTTAATTTTTGACTATTCTACAATTATCAATTATGAAAACATAGGAAACGTATTCTTTTATCATGGTCTCAACTTACATAGAGATGCTAAAAATGTGTAGATTTCTTTCGAGGCACTAGTAATAAAGAGGGAAATAAAGATACAGAAAAGCATGTGTTTATGTATTTTATATGATATCTGGGCCGCAGTCCAAAATATTTCCAAAATCCATATCTCTATATTGTCGTGTAACTCGTGGAAAAAAATTATAAAATTTTTTGTGTCTTATCCTCTGGTTACTTTAAATCTTGTTTTGATGGTCCTAGTAGAAGTAAGGCATAGTGTTTTATCGGAACAGGTTAAATTAATTATCTTTGTACCGTCGGTGTTCGAATGCAATATCTGGTGTACCTTCTTATCAAAGAGTTCAACCAATTGAAAACAACACTGCTAAATCTCGTTGACATTACTTTATTTGAAAAAGGAAATTGATATGCCATCATAACATCATTAAAAAGGAGATAACCTTGCCACTGAGCAAGAAGTGTTGTGAAGCAAAAGAGAAGAAGAGAAAGAAAATTTGGAAGCTTCAAGATCGAACTCCACTAAATTATCCTCCATCTGAAATCCTCCAATTGTTGGATTAAGCTTGAAGAAATAACTTGTGCGACAAGTTAGGAGAAGATAAAGGCAAATCTCTAGAACTTATCTTAAGATATTGTTTAGGAGTTATCTAGACAAGTCATAGTTTGATTAGGATTAGTTCAATAAACCTCTATATAAGAGCTATCAACGTTTGTGGTAAGCCTTATGAGTTGAGAGAGAGTTTTGGAAGAGAGAGATTTGTGAGAGAGAGATTTTTAGGTTTTGAGTTATTTTTACCTAAATCAATAAGAGAGAAGAACTTATTGAAATTGAGCTTACAATTCTTTCAATCTAAAACTAGATTTGGTATCAGAGCGTTGCGATCTTCTTGGGAGCAATGGCGGAAGATGCACTTGTTCCGGTAGATCCAAAGAAAGGAGGAGGATCTACATCTATTGTTTGTCCGATGCTAAACACTGCAAATTATACCGTATGGGCGCTAAGGATGAAAGCTGCCCTAAGATGTCATGAGGTATGGGAAGCTATTGAACCTGAAACAGCGGGAGAAGTAGTAGACAAAAAGAAGAACAACACGGCCATCGCGCTGCTGTTTCAGTCAATACCAGAGGCACTTGTTCTGCAGATAGGTGATTTGGATTCTGCAAAGAAAGTTTGGGATGCTATAAAGTCAAGACATGTGGGAGCTGAACGAGTCAAAGAAGCACGTCTACAAACACTTATGACTAACTTTGACAAACTCAAGATGACTGATACAGAGAAAATAGATGAGTTCGCAGGAAAGATGGCAGAGATTTCTTCAAAATCTGCTTCTCTTGGAGTAGAGATTGAGGAATCTAAGATGGTTAAGAAGTTTCTTAACAGTCTGCCTCCCAAGTTTATTCATATAGTGGCTTCATTAGAACAGGTATTAAACCTTAATACCACTACTTTTGAAGATATTATTGGAAGACTCAAAACGTACGAAGAGAGGATTGTCGTTGCAGAGAATGCACCAGAAGATCAATCAAAACTCATGTATGCGAATTCAGAAACTCAAAACATACGAGAATACACAAACAGAGGCCGTGGTGGTCGCTTTAACAGAGGAAGAGGAAGAGGACGACAAAACACGATAAGAGACACTTCACGCATTACGTGTTTCCGATGTGACAAGTTAGGCCACTTCGCCTTTGACTGCCCTGATCGACTCTTAAAGCTACAAGAGGTTCAAGAATCAACCACTAATAATACTCAGGATGCCGATGAGCTCATGATGCATGAGATTGTTTTTCTTAATGAAAAACGATGCATACCAAGCAAGTTTGAGACAAACACAGGGGAAGAGAACATATGGTACCTTGACAATGGTGCAAGCAACCACATGACAGGAGACAAGAGGTACTTTGGGAAAATTGATGAATCAGTCACAGGGAAAGTGAGATTTGGAGATGACTCTCGTGTCGATATAAAAGGGAAAGGGTCAATCTCACTTGTTGACATGAATGGTGAACCTAGAGTCATGACAGATGTGTATTACATCCCAGATTTAAAGAGCAACATCATCAGTTTAGGACAGGCAACAGAAGCAGGCTGTGATATTAGATTAAAGGGAGGATATCTTACAATGAGAGATGCAAAAGGGAAACTACTTGCAAAAGCACCAAGATCAAAAAATAGATTATACAAGGTGTGTATGGATTTTCATGACAATGCATGTCTGTACTTGTCATCCATTAGCGAGTCAAGCCGTTGGCATGCACGTTTTGGGCACATAAATTTGGAGACCATCAAATCTATGAAGCAGAGAGAGCTAGTTCAAGGATTACCACAGGTCACGTTTGAGAAAGAAATTTGCGACTCCTGTATCTTTGGGAAACAGGCAAGAAGAACCTTTCCGCAAGCCACTTCATACAGAGCCTCTAAGATCTTAGAACTAGTACATGGAGATTTATGTGGTCCAATAACACCAAGTACAGCTGCTGGGAATCGATTTATCTTTGTTCTCATTGATGATCACTCACGCTATATGTGGACAACTTTACTAAAAGAGAAGAGTTCAGCATTTGAGAAATTCAAAAATTTCAAGAATCTTGTTGAGAAGGAAACAGGGGCTCAGATCAAGACCTTTAGAACAGATAGAGGAGGTGAATTTACTTCACATGAGTTCAATGAGTACTGTAAAAATGCTGGAATTCAGAGACATCTTACTGCACCATACTCACCACAACAAAATGGTGTGGTAGAACGAAGAAACAGAACTATGATGGAGATGACAAGGAGTATCTTGAAGCACATGAGAGTACCAAACTATCTCTGGGGAGAAGCAGTGAGACATTCAACGTATCTGTTAAATAGAGTAGCTACAAGGGCTCTAACGGATAAGACTCCATACGAAGTCTTTAAGAAGCAGAAACCACAGATCGATCATTTACGGATTTTTTGGCTGCATCAGCTATGCAAAAGTTGACTCGCAGCTTCTAAAAAAATTAGATGACCGATCTAGGATGTTGGTTCACTTGGGAACAGAGCCCGGCTCAAAGGCATACAGATTACTTGATCCACAAACAAGACGAATAGTTGTAAGTCGGGATGTGATATTTGATGAGTCTAAGGGATGGAATTGGAGAAAAAATCAATCTGAGCAAGATGGAGATGGGAACTTTAATATTACACTTGGTGAATTTGGAAATCATGGCATCATAACTGGAGAAGAGACCAATAATAATGATGCAGAACAGACAGGAACTGAGAACAATGATGAAAACGATGATGAGGAAACAGAGAACCACGGATTTCTACCGGAAGTTGCAGAGCAAGAGCAAGGAGATGAAGTTGTAGAAAATAATGCGCCAATACAGAGAAAGAGTCAGAGACAAATCAACAAGCCAAAGTACCTTGAGGACTATGTTCTACTTGCTGAAGAAGAAGGAGAAACACTTCTTTTGTGCCTGAATAATGAACCAAGAAATTTTATGGAGGCAAAGGGATCGAAAGAATGGCTTAACGCTTGTGAAGACGAGATAAATTCAATTGAGAAACACCAAACGTGGGATCTAGTTGATCTACCTATTGGAACAACACCTATTGGACTCAAATGGGTTTTTAAGCTGAAGAGAAACTCTGACGGAAGCATTAACAAACATAAAGCTCGCCTTGTTGCTAAGGGATATGTGCAACAATATGGGATTGATTTTGAGGAAGTATTTGCTCCGGTGGCACGAATTGAAACCATAAGGCTACTTGTAAACCTTGCAGCAGCAAACGGTTGGGAGATACATCACTTGGATGTGAAAACGGCATTCCTCCACGGAGAGCTTAAAGAAACTGTCTATGTTTCACAACCTGATGGATTCGAGAAGCAGGGGAGCGAAGAGAAGGTTTACAGACTCAACAAGGCGTTGTATGGATTGAGACAAGCTCCAAGGGCTTGGAATAATAAGCTGAATCAAATTCTTGAAGAACTTCAGTTCAAAAAATGTTCAAAGGAGCCTACGGTCTATCGAAAAACAGAGAAAGAACACTCTCTTATCATCGCTGTGTATGTGGATGATCTCTTTGTCACAGGAACAGATAAGTCTATCATTTACAAATTTAAGAGGGAGATGGCTACTAAATTTGAAATGAGTGATCTTGGGAAGTTAACTTATTATCTTGGGATAGAAGTGACTCAATATGAAGGTAGAGTTGTGCTAAGCCAGAGGAGGTATGCTCAAAGGATTCTAGAAGAAACAGGAATGTTAGACTGCAACCCGGTTCATATACCAATGGAAGTCGGACTTCAATTGTCAAAAGCTGAAAACGAGAAAGAGATTGATGCTACAGATTTTAGGAAGAAAGTAGGTTGTCTGCGATACCTAATTCACACAAGGCCTGATTTGTCATATTGTGTAGGTGTTTTGAGCAGGTATATGCATAGTCCTAGAGAATCACATGGAGCTGCAATGAGACAATGTCTGAGATATTTAAAAGGGACAACATCGCTTGGACTAGTTTTTGAGAAACAAGTAAAGGTACCGCGACTCATTGGATATAGTGATAGCAGTTTGAGTATAGATCCTGACGATGGAAGGAGCACAACTGGCCACATTTTTTACTTAGGAGACGGCCCTATCTCTTGGTGTTCACAGAAACAAGACGTAGTGGCTCTATCCTCGTGTGAAGCAGAGTTTATGGCCGGAACTGAAGCGACTAAACAAGCCATTTGGTTGCGGGACATACTCAGTGAGATTACGGGAACTGAAGCCAAGAAAGCTATTATTCGTATTGATAACAAGTCTGCAATTTCACTTACAAAGAATCCTGTCTTCCATGGGAGAAGCAAACACATACAAAGAAGATTCCATTTCATCAGAGAGTGTGTCGAGAATGAAGAGATTGAAGTGGAGCATGTTCCTGGGGTTGAGCAGAAGGCTGATATCCTTACGAAGCCATTAGGGAAGATGAGATTCAAGGAAATGAGAGAGCTCATGGGAGTGCAAGATTTGGTGAAGAAGAGCTTCAAGCTTAAGGAGGAGATTGTTGGATTAAGCTTGAAGAAATAACTTGTGCGACAAGTTAGGAGAAGATAAAGGCAAATCTCTAGAACTTATCTTAAGATATTGTTTAGGAGTTATCTAGACAAGTCATAGTTTGATTAGGATTAGTTCAATAAACCTCTATATAAGAGCTATCAACGTTTGTGGTAAGCCTTATGAGTTGAGAGAGAGTTTTGGAAGAGAGAGATTTGTGAGAGAGAGATTTTTAGGTTTTGAGTTATTTTTACCTAAATCAATAAGAGAGAAGAACTTATTGAAATTGAGCTTACAATTCTTTCAATCTAAAACTAGACCAATCACTATCGGATTCTTCGGTTTCACACCTCCGTCAACAAACCCTAAACAAACCACGTTTTTATTCACCTTCACCAGCGAATTTGGCCCGTAAATCCTCCACTTAGCCCCTCCCCTAAGCATCAGGTCGATCACGGGTTCTCCACGTCCTCCATTGGAGTGGAAGCACGCACCGAAAGGCTTCACCGCGGGAGCTATAGCTATCTTGGCGTTTTCGGTGAAGGCTGTGAGAAGAGCCTTGTATATGGAAGTTTGCAATACAGTGTAAGGAGCCAAAGTACTGATCTTTGTGGTTCCATAGAGTATAGGAACGGTCTTTCCACCGATTTGTATGGACTTCACATCGATTAAGTACTCACCGGACTTGTCACTAGCGATCAGAGGCGTGGAGGAAAAGATCTTAGAGACATCTTTTAAGTAAGGCAGATAATAATATTCCCCTTTACCGATCCAAAGGTCACCAGAATAAGTCTTTGACCCTTCGGTGGAAGGCAAACAAAGAGCCATCTTTTGAGGAAGCTTGTACATGGAGATGAGCTGCGAGGGAATAGACAAGTGGGTGTTAGCTAGACCGACGGTTCTTTGTTTTAAGGTAGGAGCACCGTCAGAGCAAGTCAAAGTCAATGAAGAACTCTTTTCGCTGTCCATAGTGTATACGCCATTAAATGTGTATAACAAGGGGACGGTGTCTCGGAAGAGGCGGGCATCGTCGGAGGAGCGACACACGGTCCTCTTCTTGGTGATGACATTGTTGGGACAAGGGAAGTTTGGGTTTGCGTAGTTGCATCTTGTGGAGCCGCATTTGATGGGGTGGTAGGTGGTGGATCTGGCGGCTGTGGCGCAGTTTTGCAATAACGGTGCGGCTCCGTTGAGGTCAAGGACGAACTCTTCGCTGGAAGTTGAGGAGCCGATGGAGAGAGGGATGGAGTAGATATTAGTGGATTTGTCTTTGTAAATAGGGTGTAGAAATGATTGGAACTTTGCCAAAGAGTGTGATGTGTTTGCGAGATAGAGGAAAACAAGTGAGAAAAGTAAGAAGATCACACGAGGAGCCATTTTTTTTTTTTTGTGTGTGTTTTTGGTACTTGGGGATGTGATATGAATTAGTAAGACTAACCATCATGTATATGTATAGAATCATGATATGGGTCCTCTTCGTTTCTTTTTGCCATTTAGGTTTTAAACATTTGGGTAAGTTTTTGTTACTTGGTATGACAATCAGAAGCATCTTACCACGGGGTCTCATTAATTATCGAAATAACAAATTTCTTCTTTATTTTTTAAGATTTCAAAAAGCTAAATTATATTAGAGATTTTCTTATCGAATATATTTATTTACGTTGTAGGAAAAAATCATTTACTATTTTTTCCATGTCTTGTGTAATTAAGACTCTTACCGGCAAGCCATGTGATGGAGAGATTGCAAATCCTCGATATGCTTAGACGACCATCCTTATTCGTCACAATTTGCTTTGATGGATTATAATATTTTATACACTTAAATCCCATGTGGGCTAAAGCAATGCCGACACTAGAACTCTACAATAAGGATTAACAATTTATATAATACACATACCTTTTCTTTATGTAATGTAGAGTTTAAAATTTGTGATATTTCTGCTTTGGGTATGGATACCAGCTAGAAGCATCTTACCTCATGATTCATGATTTAGCTTTCTAATATGTAAACTTATAAGATTAGTACCCGTGTTATATTAATGTTTATTAAAATAACAGAAAATAAATTAAATTTAATTCCATAAAAGTGTATCACAATTAAATTTATTTTTTTCTGAAATGGAGATTTTTAAATTTGGGTTTTTTTTTCTATGATGTAGAAGATTGTGTTATTGCCGACCGAAAACACAATCCGGCAAAAAGATTTTGATGAAAAAAATGCTATTTTGCGATTTTGACGAAAAAATGATAAACTGCGATTTTACGATTTTAAAAAAATTGTTTTGGTACAAATATGTGGTTTTTAAAATATAATTTGATTTTTTTTTTATAGAAAACTAACATTATTTGATATATAATAGTAAATGAGAGTATTTTAGACATTTATAATTTTAGAAAATCATCTTCATCTGAATGCACTATTTAAACTGTTTCAAAATTTTTGATATCTTTTTGATGAGTTTGAGAAATACATCCAAATGGACGATTATGTGTTTAATTGGACTAAACGAACATCATTTTTCATCTGCATTTAGATGTACGAACAACACTTCACTAAAAAGTCAATGATGATCATGTCATGTGTGATTGATTTTATTTTTGGGAAGGCCACGTGGAGCAGCTTGTGTTATGGAGCAAGAGTGACTCACTAAAAGCGAGAACCGTCCTGCTGAAATCGAACTCGAGCATATGATCTTGAAGCTGATGCGTCCCAATGACCACCAAATCCTCCGGTTTCTCTCCTCCGTCGATAAACGCCAAACACATCACTGTTTCCTTCACTTTCACCACCGTATTCGCACCGTAGAACCCCCACTTCACCTCCCCTATCCTCCCCGGCAGACCAATCTCTATCACCGGCACATTCGGCCCCGTCAAGTTCTTTCCAGCGGTGCGTGCATCGAAACAATGTTTAAACGGCGCCACCGATGGAACTTTAGATATTCCCATAGCCTGTATATTTTAACAGAAAAAAAAATAAAAAATTTATCAGCTTATCTGTATACAAAAATTAACTTTATCAACGTTATAATTTAAAGGAACACAAAATTTTCAACTTGGAATGTCAAAACATAATATACACAAAATAATAATAAGATGTTCCATTTAAAAAATCTCACCTCATGGTTGATGGTTCCACAGGAACGCATTAATATGATTTGTTTTTTTTTTTTTCATATTTAAGTGATACATCGAATATCAAAATATAAGATTTTTTCCATGATAATTTTTACAAAAAATTGTTATCTTTTTACGTGGTTTCATTTTTGAAATCGCGCTCCAATAAAAAAATACGAAAGTTTATACATAAATAAAAGATTTTGTTTTGAATATACCTTTGCCTTGAGTGTAAAAGACTGAGCAAGAGCATTGTAAATATCGGTTTGAAGTACGGTGTAGTGAACCACCGTGCTGAGTTTGGCTCCGCCGTTCAAATCAGGGTTCAACTTCAAAGGAGTTCCACCAACGTAGATGGATTGTACGAGGATTAGATAATCTCCTGAGTCAGTGCCTCTAATGGGAGTTAAAGTCATCGGAATCGAAGAACTGCTATCATTGAACGGCGGGATAAAGTAATGAATGCCGGCGATATAGAAACGCCCGGTACCGGAAGAAGGCAAGCAGAGAGAGAATTTAGGGATGACGTTAAACGCTGAGGTCACCTGTTTCGTGAACGACGAAGATCCAGGAGAAAGAGCCAGAACTCCGGCGACAGGAGGAGGAAGGCCTTCGAGGGTTTTCTCGCCGGCGCAGGAGAATGTGAAGCGGGGGACGGAGACTTGAGAGAGGAACTTGCCGCCGTCTGTGGTGGAGATGGAAGCTCTGTCTTGGACGACACGGCCGGTTACAACGGGGTTTTGACCGAGTGGGTTTGGTTGCTTGTAAAGACAAGATTTGCCGTCGCAACCATTACCGGGGATGGACTTGCATGTGGAGCTCTGGCAAGTGACTAGGCGGAGAGATGATAAAGATTTGAGTTTGCGGCAGTTGAGCCACGTGAGGTTGGTTCCGAGGTCGAGGAGTAGGTTTACGGGAGATTTTGTCGGGGATCCAATGTTGAAAGTGGTGTAGAACTGATTGGTGGGTTCGTGTTTGGTGATCGGAAGAAGGTACTGAGAGTTCGATTTTAGAGTTATGGCTGCGAAAATTGAAAGGAAGACTATGAGGCGCGTGAGGCTACCCATTTTTGTTTTCTCGAGATTTTTTTATTATATAGATTTTGTTTTGTCAATGAAATGAATGTGATAGTTTGTTTGTGATGGAGATGGACTATAGATGTGTGATATTTATAGATGAAAGGATCTAAGAAAATGAAAAACAAAAATATGGTAAATCCTAAATTTTAATACAAAAACTAATGGTATTCTTCAATGTATGAGATTCACGTTGAGATTCTCTTTCTAAAAGTTGAATTACGCGGACTCTTACAAAAAACGAGAGAGTATTTTGCATGTGTAACACATGACAACAATTAATTATATCTGAAAAAATGAAGAAGATCAGTCGGTGCATCTTAAGTAACATTTAGCATTAATTGGTACGTATTCACATAATTCATATTCTATTCTTTTCAAATAGTTTTTCGAGTTCTTTTTTTTTTTTTCACAAAGTATCTTTTATTAAACCAAAGATCTTACAAACCGGGCTAACCGGAAAACCTAATTAACCGGTACCCACAAACTTTGATCCAGAAATATGCACACAAGCCGACAAATTTTCCGGCGAATGAACAACCGAAAAACTCCGGACGTTACCAAACATCAAACAAACTATTACACCGAATAAAGAAAAGGATGCAATTTAACTTCAAATTCTTTTCTCCTCCCATCACCAGAATTTTCCTGAGAACAAAAGCATGATAGAAATGGCTGGTAAACGATGAACCACGAGGTGAAGCTTCTGAACTCTTGTCATCACTTGATATAAGAGTAGACTTCGGAAATTGACACCTTGACTTCCTGGAATGGCAAGACGGACCTCAGATGAGGTGATTGAAACCGTCAAAAAACGCCGAGCCGTTAAAGTCGAAATAGAATCGACGATGATACGGATGAAAGGAGCCAAGCAACCCAGAACTCGCCCAGATCTGAATTATTGTTTCTTGTGGATGAAACTAAAATTGTCGCCTAACCGAACACCAAAACACTTACCTGATCTTAAATATAGCAGCAATATATGCTAGAAACTCTTGATGGATCGTGAAATTTATATAAAATCATTTATATTTTCAGTTTTTAAATGAATAGAAATGATTTTAATTAAAATAAACCATTAAGGACTCTACTTTTTTTTCGTCAACAAGGACTTAATTTACAGAACGCATCCTAACTATTGGGCCCAAATATAAATTAGCCCAATCTTAATTTTATTCTTAACATTGTCTTCCACAGACTTAGTTAAACTGAGAGATTAAGATAGATGTTTAGTATAGAAACGGATGATATTTGGAATAGTAGTATACACTAATACACATGGCAACAGGCCAACAGTTAATTTATATTTGAAAACAAAGGAGAAAGATGAGTCGGTGTATCTAAGTAGGCTAGTTTAAGTAACAACATTTAACATTAATTGGTACGTAATGTATGCAAAATGAGCATTCCTCAAGTGTTGTTATTATTTATTAAGCACTCACGTGGTGGGGACAAAGATCAATACGTCATATTAATTTTTTCAAAGTAGGTTGTTGAATTCTTATTATACCTGACCTCAAAATAGCAGTATATCATAAAATGTCTTGCAGGATCATGAAATTAGTTTTAATGAATAAAAAATGAATTTTCATTAAAAGAAACCATCACGTATTTTCGTCAAAAAGACGTTGATTTTAAAATACTGAATAGTAGCTAGGGTTGAGACCAATTATCCGGGATCCGGGATCCGATCCGGGATCCGCTCCGATCCGCTCCGAAAAATAGGATATCCGGGTGGGGCGGATCCGGATCCGGATAATGAAAAAGCGGATCCGGCCGGATCCGGATCCGGATCCGGATAATAGAAAATTTAAAGCCGGATATCCGGATCCGGGATATTTTATATAATAATAATATTTTTTTAATATTTTATTACTATTATTTAAATTTTATTAATAAATTCTATTATTTTATATAAGAATAATATTTTTTTAATAATATTTTTAATTATTTATATTAAATTATTTGTTTTTAAATATTTTTCTTGAAATTTTATATTAATAAAAACAATTATATAAAAAAACCCGGACGCCGGATATCCTGCTCTTTTTACGGATATCCGAAATCCGGATATCCGGGTGGAACGGATCCGGATCCGGATAATGAAAAGGCGGATCCGGCCGGATCCGGATCCGGATCCGGATACCCTAAAAAAGCCGGATATCCGGATCCGGCCCAGCCCTATTAGTAGCCAATACTAACCATTGGGCCCTATCGTCACTAAAAATTCACGCAAGGCCCATATTTAAATGGAGCCCAGTTTAATTTGTATTATAAATATAAATTAATATTATAAATATACCCATACACTAAAAAGACTTAATTGCCCCGTGGAAATAAGCAATGATTTTTCTTACAAGTACCAAACCAACTTTCTCCAACTGGGTGTAGTTAGTTAGTTGGGGTATAAACTTCACGGATATTCCTAAAGAAATAAAAATAGAAATAAAAAACTCCTATACACGTGCCAAAATTCCTCAAATCGTCGTCTTTTTCTTTTTAATAAAATGGATAAACATTGACCAAAACAAAAAAAGAAAAAGTCCCCACCAGGAGCGAAACGACACAACAAGTCTACTCAGCACTTACCTTAAAATGAACCAATCCTTATCGTTTCACATTCACGAATAAACCAGCGTCGGCCCACCGCATCCCAAACCATAACCCAAATCCTTAAAAACCGTCCAGATCCGTCTCCTTCCCCAACTCTCATCACACACACACACACTTCTAATGGCTTCTTGTCTGAATCTCTTCTTCTTCTCCTTCCTCTCCGCTCTAATCATTTCCAAATCTCAGATCTCTGATTCCCTCAACGGAGTCGTTTTCTCTGTTGTTAAAGACCTACCAACCGGTCAATACATCGCGCAGATTCACCTCGGTGACTCACCGGAGCCAGTCAAGCTCGTCGTCGATCTCGCCGGCTCAATTCTATGGTTTGATTGTTCCTCAAGACATGTATCCTCCTCTTGGAACCTAATCTCCGGTAGCTCTAGCGGCTGCCTAAAGGCTAAGGTTGGGAATGACCGAGTATCATCATCATCATCGCGCGGAGACCACCAAAACGCTGATTGCGAATTGCTTGTGAGAAACGGCGCCGTTGGGATTACGGCGAGAGGGGAGCTTAACAGTGACGTCATGTCGTTTGGATCTGTTACTTCTCCGGGAACCGTTGATCTGCTTTTCGCTTGTACTCCACCGTGGCTGTTACGTGGGCTCGCTAGTGGAGCCCAAGGAGTAATGGGCTTAGGAAGGGCCCAAATCTCTCTCCCTTCACAACTCGCCGCGGAAACTAACGATCGTCGTCGTTTAACGGTATACCTGTCGCCGTTAAACGGCGTCGTGTCGACGAGTTCGGTTGAGGAGGTTTTTGGAGTGGCTGCGTCTAGATCGCTGGTTTACACGCCTTTGTTAACCGGCTGGAGTGGCAATTACGTAATTAACGTGAAATCGATTAGAGTCAACGGGAAAAAACTCTCCGTGGAAGGTCCTTTGGCGGCGGAGCTGAGCACGGTGGTTCCTTACACGATGCTAGAGAGCTCGATCTACGCGGTATTTGCGGAAGCTTACGCTAAAGCTGCGAGTGAAGCTACATCGGTGGCTCCCGTAGCACCGTTCGGGCTCTGTTTCATGAGTGACGTAGAGTTTCCGGCGGTGGATCTGGCGTTGCAGAGTGAGATGGTGAGGTGGAGGATCCAGGGGAAGAATCTAATGGTGGATGTTGGTGGTGGAGTCCGATGCTTGGGAATTGTTGACGGCGGGTCGAGTCGGGTCAACCCGATTGTAATGGGTGGGCTACAATTAGAGGGCTTGATATTGGATTTTGATTTGGGTAACTCAATGATGGGCTTTGGGCAAAGAACACGTTCGGATTCAGCTTCGTTGTAATACAAACCTTTGTAATTGTAACCATCTAATTTAACTGGTAGATAATTTTGATCTCTTTTGTTTGTACTTTTTTTTTAAAATACTTCTTGATACAAGCAATCACGCATTTGTTGTACTAATAGAGAGCCTTTTAGTTTCTACCTTGTTTTTAAACTTGTCTTTTCTTATTTTTAAGAAATAGCTATATAACTTGGATGAAGTAAAAATAGTGTTTTAAAACTAAAAATCAATACAAGAACTTCACTCATTCACGACTTTTAAAAGTTTTCTAACGATACATCAGACCTCTAATTGCTAATTACCATGCGACAACTAGAAAACATGACAAATTTCAAAGAGTGTTGGACTGTGGACAACTTTCGCCGATAAAGGAAATAAAAAGTAACTTTGTATGGGGATTGGGGAGTAAAATAAGAATTAAGAAGGATGAAACAAGATGCAGAGGCAAAGGAGCCAGCAAGGAAGATGAACCATACCTATGTATAGATATGTCGCACTCTTCCACGCCCAGAGCGACTCTAACCATGTCCAAAACTCTCCTCCAAGACTCAAACCTACGAGCCCTTCTCCAAGCAACCCTTTAGAGAGTGCGAAAAACATGACCGGGAACCCGATGGTCACTAAGACCAAGCTGCAAAACGCACCCAGCAGGCTCTTAACGCGTCTGGATCTCAAAGCAGGTTTTATAGGTTGAGCCATTAGACATGTTGGCACAAGTAGCAACGCTCCAATCTCTGCGGTGGCGAAATTGATTATGGACATGAGGCACAGACCGATGAAGGCAGCTGCGATGGTCACTGATTTCAAGACAGCCCAGTTGGTTCCATGGAGCCGAGAGGAGAATGGAGAGAAACCCGGAATTGTGACAAAGGTTATAAGGAGAAGCGACGAAGAGGTAGTGCCCCACATGATAGAGCGGTTTCTTGGAGAATGTTGGCCTGGTACTTGACAGATGAAATAAGGAAGCAGCGTGACGATGAAACCCAACAAGTGCAAAGCAAAGACCTGTTTGGCTGCATCTAGCCATTTCCAAGACTTCAAGTTTTCGGCAGGGTTATGAGTGGAATTGGTAAGAGCTTTACAGCCGTCAATGTATAAAGAGGCTGCGACCATTGGAAGAGGGGCTACAAGAAGAGCAAAGGCAATCATGTAGACTCCTACAGAGATAAATTTGCTTGGCGAAGTCAACAGGTAAAGGAAAAACGATTGATGGAACTTCTCGAGGAGGTTATTCACTGATCTTATAGTTCCTTCCAGTAACCTGCGTTTAAAGAGAAGGCAGAGTTATCATAGAACACTCATACAGAGTCTATGAGTAGCAAACATTACAATTTCTGAAGTCTAGTGTAGCATAAATGATGTATTCTAGTTCTTAAGCATTACAAAATTCACATACACTAGCAGAGGTAGTATACGGTACAAAGTGGGAAAGTAGGAAAATATAAAAACAAAACTCACCGGGCACCTCGTAGAAAGAAATCGTGTTGTCTTGTCTTACTGTCAGGAGGAAATCTAGGTGAAATTTTCAAAGTAATTGCATCAACTTGATAATCGCGGAAAGCTCCATGAGGACCAGTAGGGATACCAAGGGCCTGATAAGAATGAATAACAAAAGAAAGAAACATTTTCTGTCAGCTTTCAAGGTCTTTCCTTGTTAAAATGTAACAGTGTGACTGCAATCACAAGAACTTATTTAATAACAGATCAATTATACATTTTACCTGAGAGTACAGTGAACTTGCAAGGGTAGCACTGCCTTCAAGATAGTCTGCGGCTGGGATACCAAAATTCCAGTCCGGATTTAACGTATGCGCCAATTTCCCAACAGCTTCAAATATTTCCCCAAAAATCTGTAGCCAACTAGAGGAAAGTAAAGATACAACCTTCTCCACCTTGACATAAAATCCCTGCCTGTGCACCGCTAAGTAATTTACAACATTGATGAGGTCGAGATTTGGCATCTGCCCATTAGAAGCCTCTGCGTAGATACTTAGTGTGTCCTCAAACCTTTCACTTCTACCATCAACCTTCACAACCAAAGCAGCAGCCATTGTTCCAGCTCGTCTGAAGTTATCAGCTGTATTTAGCTCGTCACACTTCAGAAGATCCGAGACCTTGAATGAAGGTGAGTGGTATTCAGTTAACCACGCAGCAACAGGCCTATAGTCTCCATAACGAGAATCAGCGACAAGCCATATTATGTCTTTGGAAAGCCAGGTAACTCTAGAGAGCAAGGAAAAAAGCGAACTGACAATTCCTAAAGACAAACTCTCATAGTCTCCACCATTTATAAAATCATATGGAGTAACCAGTACAATAGACTCTTTTCCATCACCGCGAGGGGCTCTTATAATCCCAGCAACATTAACCCCGTAAGAAGCACAGCTGACATTCTCCTCCAATGCATATGAATCAGGACTGGAGAAAAAGTGCAGGGGGTGAAATTGATTCCCTTCAGGATGGAACTTTTGAAAAGAAACTTCTGCACCCATATCTGACATGTATTTTCCAATGAGCTTCTGGACTTCACTAGAAAAAAAAAATCACACAAATGGAGAATCATTAAGTTACTTAGGCAAGGACCAAAACAGAAGAACAAGTTACTTTTTTCAATTGCTTTTCCTCATAACATAGGAAAAGGCTCTACTTCATGCGAAAACTGTTGAAAGAATTACAATGGAGAAAAGACATACACACCCTGGCCTTCATGATTCAACCTAAAATTCTTTATGTCCTTCACCAGTTTGCTTCCATCAGAAACATCCTGATTAGAGAGCATAGACCGTGCAGAGCCTGAAGAACAAAGTCAAAATAGAAAGTGTAAAACACCAAACAACAACGCATTCAAAGTAGGCAAGCCATAAACTCATATAACTCCCTCCTACAGATTCCAATCGTATAGAACCCTAATTTGGTTAACACCCTCAATGTCAAGTAGGCTACACTAGCTGATCCCAAGTCTTAAGAAATCAAGTTTAATTTCACATTTTGAACTTTTTATCAACACTCACGAGATAACCACACCATAGAAATAGTAAACTTTTTTTTTTGTGTGTGTAAATTGACAACGAGACTTGAATCTAAATGTGGCATAAACCTGGCATTAGAGCATTCTCGGAGATGTAAGTGTTCTTTGCCAGTAGAGGCAAAAGCAGCAGCGCCAAAACCCCAGCAGCAGAGAAAACCACACTAGAAACAACCACAATCAGATCATCAATCAACCAGTAGAGAAAGAATCACAACATAGAAACTAATGGAGTAGAAGAGAAGATGATGGTTGAAGATTTACCTGAATATGGGACTGTGAGCGATGAGAAAGATTCCTAGCCGAACGATTGGTCTCGGTTTGATTTTAGGAGATCCATCATCAGTCTTCACCTCCTCCATATTATCTCGGTTCACCGCCGCCATGATCTACAGATCTCCGATCAATTTCGGGAGATTCGAACCTACGACGAACTGTGATCTCCGTGGCTTGGGAATTGTAGACGACGGTCAAGTCGGGTCAGCCCGATTAGGATGGGTGGGTTTAAAGTTTAGAAGGCTTTGTATTGGACTTTTTCAGTGATGGGCTTTAAGATGGTTCAGAATCACATACTTTTATTATTTTATATTTTTTAACAAAAATATATCTATATTTGTTATTAACACGTTCATATTAATTGTTTTTCTAAGATACTATCAGTGTTATCAATTTTTATCTTATTTTAAATGAACAAACTCTTATAGAATTTTATTATTATCCATTGTTATAGTTTTTTTGTTCAATTATTATAAATGACCAATATATGGTATTTTTGCTATTACATCATATCAAGATGGGAACATGGAAATAGTGGGCTACACAGTACTGTCCATATTATCGCATCAAAGAAAAGCAAAAATATAGAAACTGCCAAAAGAAATGATGAAAAGTCATGATATGATCCTAAAAAAAGAAGAAGAATATCAAGAGAAAAAAAATAATCAGAGATAAATACAGCTGCGTAGGAAGTGTTTGTGGGGATGCATTATAGATGATTGAAGCTAAGGTGATTGAGATAGGGTGACAATGTTTGCGGATATTTCAACAATGGTCCAACAAGAATTGTTCATTTGATTCAAAATTCTAAATGTTATCGACTAAAAATGTTCTTAGTGTAATATTGAGATAATAATTTAACATTCATTAAAAAAAATATTGAGATTTTCTTATATATATATATTGATTTTGTGACAAAAAATGATATTTATACCACAAACCTGTAGTACTATATATTGGAAAGTAAACTAAAATGATATTTTTGATAATATATTCATATTTATAATTTTAACAGAAATGGTTAAAACGTGGATATGTTGTATATCTCTATACTGAAACCACAAGTGAGTAAAATTGAACATAATTTTTCTCCAAAACTAGAAATCAATAGATATAAGACTTGTGCTCAAAGAAGTCTTTATCTTATTTCTTTATTCCAAAGAAAAATAAGAAATTAGTTCTAACTATTGTATTTCTAATGTGTGAGCGTTTGATTAATGTGAATTTCATCCTCCTTATACTAGCGGGTGTCACATGGAGTCATGGACAAATCATTTTCCAGAGGATTCCTACGTAGAGAAATAGATGAAATATTAATTACCACATAATTAAAAACTTATTATTGTGTTGGATGATGGTATGTGGCAAAAACAATCTTGTATTATTGTATATGTCATGTTGAAATGAGATAATTTTCTAGTTTGGAAATAAATAATATTTGTAAAGATAATAGAGCACAACAATATCAAAGTCGTTTTCAGCTTTTGTAGTTCCCACTCCCAGGCCCATGGTTGGCTTTGCTCGGTCTTTCTTTCTGTTTTCTACAATTGTTTTTTGAGTAAATAAGAAAATAATACAAACTAGTGGCTGTATTTTACAATAACATAAAAATGATAATGACGTTTATAATATCAATAAAAATATGCCATTCAAATGATAATGACTTTTATAATATCAATAAAAATATGCCATTCATTGTTTTGCATTCAATTTATACTATATTATTTATCAATATTGCGTTTTGATTTTTGGGTATATGATTTTAATATAGTTTGAATCTTATCGAAAAGTCAAAAACATACTATATAAATAGAAACATGATAATCAAAAACTAAAATCATCCATAGACGTGGATATTCAATAGCTAAAACTTTCTTTTTTTTTGTTAAAAGCTAAAACATTTATTGTCCACCTCAAATATTGCAGCTCAAATTTTAGGCGTATTGATATGATGTCATAACATCAAGAGTGTCCTAAACAAAATTTATTGGAGGCTTTTTAATTAGTCTAGATCGACTTTATGGTTTTGGTATTAAAAAAAAATACTGCAGTGAAGTTATGGTATATTGATATCTCGTGTTAATATACAGTTAAATCTCCATTAACCACAAAAAGGAAAATATTTGTTTGGTTTGTTTGGCCGATAAAGCGGATGTTATGGGTAGGATAAAAATCAGCTTTTTTGTTTAACAAAAAGTTTTAGAAACCATTTTCTTGAAGTTTATTCATTATCAGATTTTTCTGAATAAGAAATCCAATTAACTCAACAACCTCAAACTACACATTTTAACATTTATTTGGTCTACCTTGTGGTCTCTGATATTTGGCACGAAATAGTTTTGGTCTCATCTCATCATATACATTTTCTAGGTTGTTGTCAGTTGTCACCAAACCATATATGTATTTGATGGTTTTTCCTTTTTGTGTGTATGTGATATTTTCTTAACAAATGGTCGAAAATCTTAAGCAACTCAACCATCTTTGTGTTCAATCAAAGGCTTAATCTTGGATTCAATAGTTTATTTAGATCATATAATTTGGGAAAAAAGTATCAACAAACTAAAGTTGGCTGTTTATACGTGTTGATATCAACAAACTAAGATGTGCGCAAATATTCTTATGCATGTTGATATGAAATTATATACTAAGAGGAAATGTGCAAAGGCAAATTTTAGACCGTGGGCCAAACCCCGAAACCAAAAAAAATACAAGGGGCGTCCACTGTTCTTCTAATATTCTTTCTTGACATTTTTATTGAAAAAATTATTATTTTCTATTTCCAAAGGAAAAATCAAAAACTGATCAGCCGCTACATAATCTCCATGTGAAAGTTTTTTAAAAAAAATTATTAATACAATTTACAAAAGCTTCAAATTATTGACTAAATTATGTAGGACATGGTTTTGAATCTCTATGGAATTTCTAACAAGAGTAGTTTCAAAATGAGCATACAAAATTGAATAAGCTCTTTTCAAGGACGAAAAGTTTGATTTTAAAAGTCTATATTATGATCCACAGCTAATTACATATAGCTACCCAAGATCCAACAATCATAGTACTAATTCGTTGTTAATGTTATAGTCTTTTATAGATGATATGCTGTTGTCTACACAGGAAAATTTGATCTTTTTTTTTTTGTCATCTGGAATTATATTGAAATTTTGGAATAACCAAAAGATTACAACAGGCTACACTAAGTCAAAGACAAAGGAATTAGTTAGCCTAAACTACCACAATCTCCACAACCAACCCAGAGAGGTCTATACAAAAGAATGCTCTCACAGCCAATGGAAACACTTAAACCACAACCACGACTTTAACCAAAAATGATCTCAAACTCTGAGCATCATACCAACAAACAAAAACTCACACACAAACAGAAGACAAACCTTCCTCATCAAGAAAGACACGGTTTAACCAAACCTTCCACAACCAAACTCACACAGGAAAATTTGATCACGTTGCTGTTTTAATTTATTTTCTAAAAATAAAGAGATTTAATGTTTATCTGACATATCTTATTCTCTGGATGAAGTTAGAAGTATGTAAGAAAAGAAAGATTCCTAAACTTATTAATTTCAATAGTATTACACAATTATCGTTGATGATAAATGTCCATTTAAATTAGGTTCAAGTTGCTTTCAGATCACAATCTCTTCCTTGCTCCTACTTAATTGGCTCATAAAAAACATGCTTTTTTCCAAGTACTATAACAGTTATACGAGTTTAAAGCATGTAATAATAATTATACAAATCATTAGAGATATGTTTTTGTTAAAAAAATTGTAACTTTCACAAACAAATATAGACGTCTTGAAACACACTAAAACCAATATAAATTTTCTGGTTATGGTTGGTGATTTAATTGAGAAAACAGAAAGTAATTGGTGACACATCGCTTGATTTAATTGACATTTTTTTTTTCTTTTTGAAAATCACCAATTATTTTTGTCAACATTTTATTTATGTTTAGATAGACAGATTTTTTTTTTTTTAAAAAAGGAAAATTGTCTGTTTTATGCCTATTACATCTCACCTGTTGATTACATATTTAGTTTCTTTATGATTTTTTTTGCTGGGTTATCTATATGAAGGTAAGAAACTATGGCGAAGAAATTGGTAGAAAAAGTAATAATATAACTTGTAGAGTGTTAAATTAAAGTTGATGTTATTTCTTTTTCAATTTTTACGAAAAGTGGATGTTTACCATAAAAATGGAAAAAAGTTTACGTTAAATTTCAAATAAATATATTTAAGATTCACTTTTAAAATAATAATTTTAAAAGTGAAACATTTCGATAATTATTAAAAAAAAAGAGGGTGGATAAGACAAGAGACCACAAATGGCAAGATTGGTCCCACAACACTAGAATCTAACGCTCCAGAATGATTCCATCTCTTCCGTGTGGGACCTACGTATGTGCTGCGTCATTGCCCATACGATGACGTATCGACGTTAATTTCAGTGTAAGAAGAAGAATCAAGAGAGAAGAAGATTCATGAAGACTTGAAATGACGTAAATACCCTCGATATCATCTTCTTCCTTATATTTAAACACCATCGTATACCTCTCTCCTTTGTCTCGACTTCCATGTCCGATATATCTTTACCAGAGAGAGAAAGCTCAGAGATTTAATTAGCTTAATTTTTCTTTCGTTGGGAAATTGAGGAAGTGATTGTTATCACCGGAGAAGAGAGAGAAAATGTTGGGAATTTTCAGTGGAGCTATAGTATCGCCGCCGGAAGAGCTGGTGGCTGCCGGAAGCCGAACTCCGTCGCCGAAAACAACCGGAGCAACTTTAGTGAACCGTTTCGTCGAGAAAAATCCCTCCGCTGTTTCTGTACAAGTCGGCGACTATGTTCAGCTTGCTTACAGCCATCACAACGAGAGTCCTCTCCGGCCGAGGTGAGTCGCCGGCGATTTTCCTTATTTTAATTCTATGTAAACTTGGCTTTTTACGATGATTCCAAAGTTTCCACCGTCAGATCGATATGATCGGACGGTGATGAGATCATCGTCGAGCCTTTAAATTTCGCTGACAAATAAAATCTAAAATTTTATATATACAGATATATATATATAATATATATATATAAAACAACAAAATTAAAGTCAATTGCATATTTGCATTATTGCATGTATGGACCATATTTCATTTGTTTCGTCCGATTTTCTTATCTAAAATGTTAAGAAGGTAGGAAATTAGTGAGAATTATCTGATTTAGATTTTAATTTTGTAGATTATTTAGTTTTATACTATTGTTTCTAATGTTTGTGGTATGGTGTGGTGTGTGGACCCAAACAATAATTTTAGAGTAAAGTCCGAATATATTTTCTAAAAATTATATATATATATAGGAAATATGCATATACAAGGTACATCATAGGTATAGCTTTATTTAAATGTAGCGATCCAAATTTGTATGGATAATTAGCATATTAAATTAAAAATGATAAATATTTGACTACTTTATCCAAGTAAAGTTTGCTCATTGGTTAAAAAGGATTTCTTTTGAATCCTTATGGAAAACAAGATTTGAGTAAGATAATGTGAATAACTAGAGATGATTTACGTATTTACATGGATTGTTAACGATTAATTATTCATAACCTAGAAAACTTTAGACTGAAGATCCAATTTCTTAGATATCTTAAAATATAAATTTAGTAGTTGACTCTGTCGGTGACGGTGGCACAAGGACACGTCTCAGAAGTTGTGTTTTTTTTTTTTTTTTTTTGTCGGCAACTCGTTTTATAAACGAAAGCTCATAATGAGCAAGATACAAGAGTTGTGTCACCAAAGATTCACAAGCCTCTCATGACTCATTACTGAATTGCTCAAGTCACTGAGACTCCGATTACAAAAATTTAGCATAAGAATAATCAAAATTACATTTCCAAATTCATTCACAAATTTCTATATGGTTACAAGTTGTAACTTACAACTATAGGGACTGTATGTATTTTGGATATGCAATAATATGGCCAAACTACAAAGACAACTTTGGTTGGTCCACCAAACCCTACAATAAAATCCCACGACCATTAATAGCCTTATGCACCACACTCTATCTTTAGCTTTTACCCATATCAAAATACCAATACATTCATAATTGCATGTCTATTTAAAGATTTGATGCTGACTCATCGGTTTGACTATTCGCATTTAAAACTTCAACAATTATTTGCAATAATACTTTTTCTCTAGATGGTTTTAAAGTTTTATACCCTTATATTGCTCAAGTTAAGTTAATTTGGACTTAGTGATATATAGGCTTGTCTTAAGATGTTTTTTGAAATGATACAGATCATTTGGGGCTAAGGATGAGATATTCTGCTTGTTCCAAGGCTCACTTGATAACCTAGGAAGCTTGAAACAGCAATACGGGCTTGCAAAGAACGCAAACGAGGTTCTTTTGGTCATCGAGGCTTATAAGACTCTCCGTGACAGAGCTCCTTACCCGGCCAACCACGTCGTGGCTCACCTAAGTGGCGATTTCGCCTTTGTGGTCTTTGATAAATCAACCTCCACTCTGTTTGTCGCCTCTGTAAGTTCTTTTAACCCCCTCATAAACCCTTTTTTAACTGTGAAGTAGATTGAATCTAGTGGTAAAATACCGGTTTTTGATTTGCTACAGGACCAAGTTGGCAAGGTTCCATTGTATTGGGGAATAACAGCTGATGGGTATGTGGCATTTGCTGATGATGTTGAGTTGCTAAAAGGTGCTTGTGGCAAGTCTCTTGCGTCTTTCCCTCAAGGTTCGTTTTTCAGTTTGTTTGTTCACTCCTAAATTCAAGATTTTCGGGGCATTACCCGTTCCATTGAAGCGATTTTGATTTTTGAATGGTTGTGTATGCGTGCGTTGCAGGCTGTTATTACTCAACGGCGTTAGGTGGGCTTAGGAGCTTCGAGAACCCTAAGAACAAGATCACTGCAGTTCCTGCTAATGAGGAAGAAATTTGGGGAGCCACCTTTAAGGTAATTGATTCTTCAAAAACAAATCATAGTAAGTATATTCTGTTCAGCAACTTACAACACAAACTTTGGTGGTGGGAACAGGTGGAAGGAGCAACAGTTCTTGCAGATTGAGAATGAAAGAGAACAAAAAAGATTCAGATCCATGTCTCTTAAATCTTGAACTGTAGCAGCAAAAAAATAAAAAATGATGTAGGAAAAACAAAAAGCTGTTCTATGAGTTCTTGAAGCTACCAATGGTTGGTGATGTGTGTAGTGTTGTATCTCTCTTATGTTTTATGCTTCTTTGTACAGCCCGTGTCTGTCTTCTGGTGTTATTAGTGTCTTCTTCCTAATAAGTTTTAATGTCTCTGAAACCAAAATCCACCTTCTCATGATCCTTTTTGTCTCTGTTTCTATAGTAAAAATCTCACTATTCTCAGTCTGTATACATGGATCTATAAGAAGTAATATTGACATTGGAAGAGAAAGGGTTCTGAGCACCGACTCGTAATCTTTATTTGGTAATCACAACATTCAGGTTTATTATTCAGAAAAAAAACAGTAGTGAGGAAAATAGACACCAGAGAACAGAAACAGGAACAACTTCTGAATTCACAGAGACAATAAGATGTCGTAGTAGGCAAGACAACTCTACTTCATGTGTTCTGAGATTAAGATGCAGGGCAGATATCCTCCAAACTGTTAAAGAAAACCGATAAACATTACGATCGAGACGAAATGTTTTTGTGGATTCTCTGATGCAGCAGTTTCAGTAAGAAAGAAATCCATACCTCTCTCCTAAACATTCGATAATGTCGCTGGTAAGAGTTGATCTCTTATGTTTTGTAAAGGCCAGAGATGCAGCCTTTCTCAGCAGGCCAGATGCAGCTATGCATCCCAAGATAGCTGGATTCTCAGAGGGACTGAAATTTTTTTGGGTTTCAGAGATTGTCAAAACCACTTTGCTCAACCAATGATGTATAGCAAATATAGAATGTATCTAACCTTTCAGGATCTGATTTAAGCTGTCGTGCCCATGACAAAAACACTGCAACACTAGATAAAACCAAATCCATGTAGGCAGACTATTAGTGGTTACAAAAGTTCAGACATTTAATCGTGGTAACCCGAGCAATCTAATGATAATGGATCAAAGAACGGTGAGCTAACCCCCCAGAGAGAATATCGCCTTGTCCACCGCAGCGCCTCGGTGAACCATATATGCTTACTGATTTTACTGCAAAAACAGAGATAATCACACCTGGCGTTCTCAACGTTCTCTAACCAAAAGAAAAGATAGCTAAAAAGTTGCTCACCTGTCTGCCCATTGCTTATAAGATCAGATTTCCCTTTCCTGAGAATCGTGACACCACCAATCCTGAATGACACAGGCGTTTAACATTATTATCATTAGATTTTTCGCTGCAAATCACCAGATGAGCCTGGTGATGTGTGTGAGATACTTCCCTAGTTCCCTCTAGATGTCTTGTGAAGATTTTCAGATTCTAATATTCTAGTCCTGTGAAGTCATTTTTGTACTTACTGTTTGGCCAAAGAACGTAACTGGTCTTCAGCATTTTCTTCATCTACTTCACAATTCAGCACTTTTTGAACCAGGCGCTTATACTCGTTCACATTTGGGGTTAACACAGCAAGTGGATAGCGCTGGACAAGATCAATGGAATTTGTTACAAGAAACAGCCCGTCCTGCGGAATCACCATGGAACAGTCAGAAGATTAAACAATCAAGATTTGGGAAAGACACTAGCCTATCAAATCCGCACTTTGTGCTAGGTATGCTTACCCCATCTACAACAAAAGGAACATTGAACTTTTTGGCAAGAAGCATGATTCTACTCACACATTCCTGGAAATACAGAGTCATAACTCGTAAGTCCACCACCAAAGCAATGATAAATCAAATTCTGTAATTTCATGAAGCAGAGGTAGATGAATCTGTACCAGGAGAAACGGATCTCTTCCCAAACCAGGACCAATAACAAGGCAATCAAATCTCTCCATCCATTTATCGACTTCCCCGAGCACTTTATCTTGAACTTTTCTTTGATCTTCTTCACTCAGTTGACTACGTCCAGATTACCATTCATACAGATATGAAAACCGGGGATTGTAATATAAACCTACGGAACGAAACCACAGAGTGGACTGGAGTATTCACCTGATGCTATATGATTCCTCAAGAACAGGGTGAACTATAAGCTCAGGACTATAGCTCTTTATAACAGGAGCTGCGTCTTTCGTGCAGAAGACATGAGACAAATCAGCACCCTACAAGTTTTACAGACATGAAACCAATCTTCTCATTTGTGTACAGATTAACTTCAAAACCAATGCGAGAAGCTGTGGAAAAAGAAACTACTAACGATTTTCAAAGCTGAAATGGCAGCAAAGTATGGAGCTCCAGTGTATTCACGACATCCTCCAATCACAGCTATCTTCCCTGACACAAGATCAATTTCAACACATGAGCTAAACGAACCTAAAAAGACTCAAAACTTTAAAATCCTAAAGTTTCGAATTTGACTAATTACTGATCACACAATTGAATAACCAAACACAAAACACGGTAGCAATTACGTAGAGACGAAGAAGAGTACTAACCAGCTTGGCCTTTGTGTCGTTTGGGATCGAGCGATGGCGTCACGGTTCGAAGTACACTCTCAGCGTCGGCCTCCGATGTGGAATTCATTGCTCTGATGAGCGTGGGGCGATGAATTTGTGACCCACAAAGCGTACGTACCAAGAACTGTTGCCTTCTGAGCACACTTGAAGAAGAAGAAGGTGAGTGAGAAGTCAATCGTCCCAAGCCAGAGATGACGCTACGCTTCACCAACATCAGATTCTCGTTGAGGGGGCGAGAAAGCCACCGATTCCGATACAGCACCGAGAGATGGACACTCTGTTCGATTCAGAAGGTCTCCTTTTTATTTAATTGTTCATTTGTTCTATAGGAGGAAAGAGGAAAAAAAAAGCAGACTTTTTTCAGAATCGGAGGTTTTAGAGAGAGTAAGAAGATGAAGAGGACGGTGATGGACAACGCGATTCGATCATCGGTGGTGGTGTTGGGATCATTGGCCTTTGGTTACTTGTCACTGGAACTTGGTTACAAGCCTTTCCTTGAAAAGGCTGAACAATACGAAAGATCTCTTCAATCTCAAAATTCTCAACAACAACAGCAAGGTCTTGTATTCCCTCTCTCTCTATCAGTATCTCGATTATTGCTTCTGTTTCGTTTTCTTCTGTGTAAGTTGATGATCCATGCTTTAGGGGTTTGTTTCTGGAATCTGAACTGTTGAAGTTATCAATGCGTATTGAACAGATTTGTTGGTAATTTAAATCTGGATTCAAGTGAAATTTTCAAATATCTAAATCTTAGTTTTTGAGAATTGGCATTATTACAAAAGGAAGTCTTAATCTTTTCCTCTTTAGTCCCGAAATCTTGCTTCTGGTTCCGAATTCCGATAGGTAACAATGTGTAATGATGGAGTGGGATGGCATAATCATTAAGGGACAAAAACTGCATAATGACAGAATTTCTTTGAATCTTGATCATTGAACTTGCATAGATACTAAATGATTGAACATACAGTGTGATTTCGCAGAAATGTGTGACTTGTGAGATCATGCCGAATCGCGGATGATTCTGCGGATCACCAAGCAGAACTAGTAGATGAGAATATGATTGCCATTTATAGTTTCTCCTTCAGTTTGTTTCCAAATAGTTTTTTTTTTCTTGGATCAGTGTGCCCTTTAATGTTCTTAGTCATTGCGTCTTAATGGAATCCATGGTCTGTTAGTGTTAGAAGCTCTAGATATAGAGTGTTCACGATGTTTTTCTTACTCTATGATCTTGTAGATGAACAAGAAGAAGCGAGGTGGGACAATAACAATACCGAGGGATGGGAGGGGAAACGGTAGTCTTATAAATCGGTTTTTATGACAGACCTATGAATGTGTAAGCTGTAAGGAAGAACCTTATCCTCGTTTCTTTATATTTTTGATATCTATCGGATCAACCTTAAGATCATCTGTAACTATCCACCATTGCCACTTCTCTATCAATCACTCAGAATTTTATCTCAGTATAGTACATATTGCCTAAATCATGTTTGAAGTTACAAGGATTATGAATTCATACCTTATCAGAAACCTTACAAAATCTCTGTTCTGATGCAAACCTTGAACAATTATGATCACAAATGCAGATCGTTGCGACTACTCTCTCAATCAAAGTTCATTAGCTAAATTGTGGCTGGAAGCACAAGAGGAAGCAACAGAGTAAATGAGATTATTATGAGATCCATCCTCTCTTTCAATGTTACTTGTTTTTTTTTTGTGTGTGGTAAATTAGCTTTAGTCAAACAAAAGCATTTTAACGATCTTGGGAATCTCCTAATATGACAATTAAAGGTACTATTTGATCTTGGCCGGTACGCAACCTTTTCTCGGTTCTCACTTTCTGACTTTCATTGAATCTTGTCCCTAGACAAATAACATGTGATGTGTTCATTCAAATCTCCGGCATGGACGGCTTCAAGTCGGAGCTTCGTGCTTCACTAATCTAATTTTTCTACTTTTCTTCAATCATTAGATGATTCCATCTAATTACCAAATTCAATTTATTGAGTCTACCAACCATTAATATAGTAAATCAATCACATATTTCATACCAAACATAAATCAATCACATATACACATTTTTGGACCAAAACGCAATTTTCGGTGAATGAAAATGAATCACACACGCACCAAACGCCTTAACCGTTTTAATGCGCCGTCTTAAGCCCCACCACTTTTTCCACGCGCCATGATCGCGCTTGTGACAAGTTTTGGATCTACGGGACCCGCCACTTAAAAGGACCCCACGATTCACACTCTCCAAGTCTCTCTCCCTTTACACGAAACAAGACGGTCAAGAAAAAAGTTGAGACTGTTCTTTAAAAGATTTTGAAACCGAAAATTTTAAGCTAATTACACCTTTGGATTTGTATTTGTATTTGTTCGCTAATCCATTTACTAATTTGACGAATCCATTATTCCAAGCAAAGCTGTCTCTTCAGCTTACTCTTTTCTTGTTTCTCATTCAATTTCTTTGCCTCTATTGATTTCTTTTAGAAAGCCACAAGAAGTAGAAGAAGAAGAGTCTCTACTCAGAGAATAATAAAGTCTTCAACTTTTGAAGTTTCTTCTTAAAAACCTCACAGATGTCGAAGAACCCATCTCAAGAAGACGATGAAGCCATGCCAATCTCCGAAGTAGTAATAAAGAGATTCAAGCGTTTAAGGCTCGTGTTCGAGCCGTCACTAGGAGTCTTGGGTTTTTTCTTGGTGGGTTTGTGTTTAGTCTTCAGCTTCTTCTACCTCGATTACAGAACCGTGGCTAAAACTAAAAGTCATGACTTTTCGGATCAATCGGAGAGATTCCTTTGGCTCAAGGAGCTTGATGGGTTTGTAGATAACAACACTAAAGTTGGGTTTCTTGAAGAGAGTGGGAATAGTTGTGATTTGTTCGATGGGAAATGGGTTTGGGATGAATCGTATCCTTTGTATCAGTCTAAAGATTGCACCTTTCTTGATGAAGGATTCAGATGTACTGAGTTTGGGAGACTTGATTTGTTCTATACTAAGTGGAGATGGCAACCTAACCATTGTGATTTGCCCAGGTAAATGGGAAAGTGAGGGAAAAAAGAATTGGTGCTTTTTGGTTTGATGTTCTTCACAGTTTCAGCATCTTTCTCTGTAGCCAAAAGAGTTTGCTAAAGATTCTTAAGTCGCTTTCAGTTTTGTCTTAGAGATTGTATGGGATTAGAAATGTTATGTTTAGGATCTGATTCTCACTCAGATCAAAGGAGTGTTTATGGCGTTGGATTTATAGATTAGTTGTTAATAATGTGTTTGTTTGAATTATTGTTACTTAGCTTACACTTCTTGTTATATAATGGATCAGATTTGATGCGAAGTTGATGCTGGAGAAGCTAAGGAACAAGCGGCTAGTGTTTGTAGGAGACTCAATTGGAAGAAACCAATGGGAGTCTCTTCTTTGTATGCTAGCTTCTGCAATCAGGAACAAGAATTTGGTTTATGAAGTGAACAATAGACCCATCACAAAGCACATGGGCTTCTTTGTGTTTAGGTTTCATGACTACAATTGCACTGTTGAATACTATAGAGCACCGTTTTTGGTTCTCCAAAGCCGTCCACCTAGTGGATCACCAGAAAAGGTAAAGACGACACTTAAACTAGAGACGATGGAATGGACTGCCGACAAGTGGAGAGATGCGGATATATTAGTGTTTAACACCGGACATTGGTGGAACTATGAGAAAACTATTCGCGGGTTAGCTTCTTTCTCCTTGTTAACATTCTCAGAACTAATCAGCTTAGTTTGGTTCCTTGACTGATCTTGGATTTGTTACTGCAGAGGTTGTTACTTTCAAGAAGGAGAAAAAGTGCAAATGCGAATGAAGATAGAGCATGCGTATAGACGAGCTATGAAAACCGTTATGAAATGGATACAAGAAGAGGTTGATGCAAACAAGACACAGGTCTTCTTCCGCACATTTGCCCCTGTGCATTTCAGGTTTGTCACACATATTTACAAAACAAGAATCTTCGATCAATCTTAAGCTTCCATTTTAATTGCTGTTTTCTTTTCATTCAGAGGAGGAGATTGGAGAACTGGAGGAACATGTCATATGGAGACACTGCCTGATTTTGGAGCCTCTCTGGTTCCAGCAGAGACATGGGATCATATAAAGCTCCTTCAAGATGTCTTGTCATCGTCTCTTTACTACTTGAAAACATCAGAGACGGTTAAACTGAAAGTGTTGAACATAACAGCCATGGCTGCTCAAAGAAACGATGGTCACCCATCACTGTACTACTTGGGCTTGGCTGGTCCTGCGCCATTCCACAGGCAAGACTGCAGCCATTGGTGTCTCCCTGGAGTTCCTGATTCGTGGAATGAGCTTCTTTATGCATTGTTTCTAAAGCATGAAGGCTATTCAAGTCCAAGATCAAACAATAGCGATACAGGCAACTTTACATAACATCTTTTGGTAAAGTAGCTGGTTCTTGCTCTCTAGAGGCTAACCTCAAGATTTTGATTGGGTGATTAGGTTAATTGGGTGGGGAATATGTAATTACTGATTAGGTTAAGCAACTTTTGTTGTAAAGATAAATCTCATTTTTCTTCAAAGATTTGAGTGATAATTTTGGACCTCTGTTCTCAAAAAAATGTGGGAAAAGTGTATTTTCCTTTTGATTATAAGAAATAAATACATATATAACAAAAAAAAATCGAAGGTAAGTTCTTCAGATCGATCCAGTAGTTGGTTTGGTCTCAACGTCTTGCACTGTGATGATGATGGTGACGATGATGATGATGATGGTAAGGACGAGAGGCTATGGGAGGACGATGATGATGATGAAGAAGAAGAAAAGTGCCATAAGTGGCGGTAACACGAGACTTCTTCGACTCTGAAACATCTTGTGTGACGGTTTTACCCTTTTCCACGTCAACTAGTTTGGTCTGCATCTCATCGTGATCGGTGCAACCGGAGACGACGGCGAGACATAATCCGAGAAGCGCAACCACACAAGCGACGGTTATAAGAAGAACAACAAGAATTTCCATTATGATAATGTTTCTGTGTTTTTCCTTTGGCGTCTAAATTATATAGACTAAAATTTGGTCTAAGAAAATTTTGAGAGATTTTTTTTAGTAGGGTTACTTAACAAACGCATATAAAAAATATTCTAGTAAATTCGAGTTTTTTTTAATTACCATTTTTGGAAAGTAATATTAAGATGCAATTTAATTGGAAAATGTGTTTAATTAGCTAATCTAAAGAATCTTAGATTGGTCAAAGTAATTTAATAATATTAAAATATAATAAAAAGAGATTTTGATTGGGTGATTAGATTAATTGGGTAGGGGATACGTAAATTACTAATTAGGATGTAAAGATAAAATATTATCAAAGATTTGAGTGACCACATCAAGAGGATGAGATGGCGGCGACTGGAAATGGCTGATGAAGAAGAAAACAAGGGCCATAAGTGGAAGCATGAGAGACCTTCTTCGACTTTGAAACATTTTGTGTGATCTTTTCCACGTCAACCAGATTCTCATTGCCAACGGTACAATCAGGTAAGATACAGCATGCGAGAAGCGCAAAAACACAAAGCATAGTTATAAGAAAAACAACTGAAAATTCCATCTTGTTTTATTTAGCAAGACAAAAAAGTTGGTCTCAGAAATTTTTGAGAGATTTGATAAGACTTAAGAGAGTTGATAAAGGGCTTTGTGGTGTATACCTTAATTTTATGTGCAAAAATTAGAGTTTTTAGAATAAAAAAAATGTATATAACCTTTTTTGTATAGTAATTATGATAATTTTAATTGGAGATTTTCTTAAAAATGATAAAATGATAAAATACCTTTTTGGACATTAATTAGAATAATTTAATTAGAGGTTTGCTTAAAATAATGAAAATATCTTAGATATAGTCAAATATAATCCACCAAAATTAAATTCAAAGATATATTTGCTTACATAATCTAGAAATTAAAGTCTTATTATAATAGCCAAATATTTAATATAATATTATTTTGTTCTATCATTGACCCAAAAACTTTAAGGGTCACAAAGAAAAGCTTTCGGAGCTATGTGGCAATGGCAACTTTTGAGTCTTCGAGCTCTCTCCCCCGTGATCAATCTCCGTGAATCGTCACTCTCTCTATCTCTTCTGTTTCAGTGGCTGATCTCGATGTTCCCAGGAGTAATTCTAGAGACCTCGACAAGATTCTTCTAGTTGATATATTCTACAACCATAACGCTCAATATATATTCTTTCTAATGAATCAGTCTGTCGCTTTAGAAGTATAGCATAATATACTTTTTTTTTTTGTTAAAACACACGATTCACTTAACTATAAGTAGTATAGTGCAAACTTATTCCAACCATTCTACAAGTTAGGGATCATGACCCCAAATAATTTTTTGCGGTTTTGAATGTCCGAGGTGAATATCCTAGTATGGATGCTTGTGTAATCGAAGGAGAAAAAAATATCTAAGGGATTGGTAAATGTAAGTTAACATTATGCAGACCTTTCTTTTGCTTATAAAGAAATCCATATATGATCAACTAAATACAATCCTAATTGAAAACCAATGGAAAGTTTAAAGCTAACACTTGATTCGCCACTACAAACAACAAGATCGATCCTCGTGAAGGTTGTAGCAACACAACTTGTTAATTAGTAGTTTTTGCTTCTTCTTATTATTTTCTTGTCATTTAATTTATAAACAGAAGCTCATTTCCTTCGATTGTATGTATTATTGGGTTGCTATGTTTAGCCCCAACCGGGTGGTCTATACTTTATGAAAATGTGTTTCCACATTAATTGCTTCGAGCGCAACGTCTCTTACATCTTTTTATCTCTGCATTAATACAGCCAAGTGGTGCGAGCATATTACTAGAAAAGCAAATTTTTTAAAACACAATTCTTGGTGGTATAACTATATAAAGCCTCAAAATTTTTTTGAGGTATCAAATTTTTCTCAACTTAATTGAAAGTTGATAATAACCCGAAGTCCAATGATCTCTTTCTGCGTTTTTTGTTATTCCATTCTTTAAATTCTTATTTGGCTCATAATTATTGTGGTAGTTTGAGTTCTGGTGAGTGACTTTGTTTATGTTAGTCCGTATCGTAGTTTCCCTTTTGGATTTGTTTATTTTTTTTGGTTAACCTTGAACATAAAAAAAAAGTTTTGAATTTACCTAGAAATTTTTTATCAATAAAACTTACAATTTACGAAAAATATCTCATTTTCCTATAGCTAACTCCAAATTTTATTTGTTCGTTCTAATTTTCCTAAAACAACTAATAAGTGGTTTTCAACTTTTAAAAGTCACAGTTAAGAAAAGTTAATTCTCCAACCAATATTACCTCCTTAGTATGTTCAATGTTGACTCGACTAATACGACTATACGAGCACCCAACATTTGCAATGGCCGTACATATCTAGTTTCAAAATTTTGATAAAATTACGATCAAAGAAACTTTAGGACATTGAATGGATGGATTGTGGATGGAATCTATATCCTTATCCCTAAAAGTTGATTAGAAAGAAAAAATCTCTAAATATTGCTGAATTACTTTAACCTCTTTTCATCAATTTAGGCTGTCGTGAAAGAGCCACTTGACTTCCTAAACACCGTCCGCATTATCATGTAACAAATAGTTTGAATGACTTTATAAAATAAATAAATAAAACAATAATTTTAATGACTTAAATTGGTAACTTGGTATTGGTAAATATTTAAAAGGGGTTTGGAGTTTAGTGTGATTGAAAAATGAAAATATAAAAACAAAACTTTCTTAAGGTCGAAGGAGAGAGAGAAAATGAAAACTAGGGCAAATAAATGAAGAAATGCACCAATCAACGTCAATATCTATCCTCCCTCTTTTGCAATTTAATACAATTTGCGTGTCACTTTCAAACCTTACGAATTATAACGCAAATAATCGAATAAACCACCGGTTAGAAAATTTAACCGGGTTTTATTACAACTTGATTAACAAAGTGAATTCTAAATATCCTTAATACAATACTAGGAAGTGAAAGAAAATTCTAGAAAAGGAGAAGCTGTATTAAGGTTGACTAAGAAATTTTTTTATGAAGATCCAAAGTAATACCATGTTGGTTAAAATTTAATTTTTTTAATATACAAAAGTTATAATAGACCGACAAGTAAATAGACTGTAAACCAATTGAAAAATATAATCAAATGTCTATGCATACATCAAAATTAAATGTTATTTTGTAAGAAAAAAAAACTCATAGAAATCCCAATATGCAAAACAATCATATGCACTATGCTTTTTCAAAATATTTAATTAAAAACCCACATTAATATAATCTTTTGATTTTATTTCATTGCGGTTATAATAATCAACACGGTAATAATTTGCCCTATAAGTCCAATGCTAGAAAAGTATAAGTACACCGTTTGAATAGCTTGGCCTTAGCATTAGGGACTAATATAGGATTTTTTAGTTATTGCAACAACATCTAATAGGATCTTTGGGAGTTCGGTTTGCACAATCTCCTGTACGGAATCCTTTTTCAGTACAGTCTACAAAGCATTCACGTGATCCATACCCTCCGTCCTCACACAAATGGTAGCAATGATCATATGAGAATTTTTTGATCTCTGCACCTACCCAAATTCACAAAATATATAAAATTATATATAACATGTCCAAACAATATTTTGAAGGTTCTGAATACATGTTCGAACATACAAGATTATTTTCAATTCTTAAAATCGAACAATGTTAATTGGCATATAAAAAACGAAAACTTTTAAATATACCTGAGGCCAAAATGATTTCGTTGGACAACAAAACTGCTAAGATGACAATGTGGAAAAAGATCACCAATTTTTTTTTAATACCCATAATTTTTTTCTTTTCCGTACAAAGTTAATGAGAAAAGGATCTTGTTAATTTTTTGGCTCTTAAGAAAGACTATATATATATATATATATATATATATGTCACGATCTTGAAAAATCTCAAATTGAATCAATTTATTTAATTTTACTATTAATTTTTTTCCTATTTGTGCTAAGAAATATTATTTTGGTCAAGAAAGTATTGCCATTATTTATGTATATTGAATATATTGTTTGACTCTATTTATTAACTATTTAATGAAAATAAATATTTGGGGATCTATGAAAGTCATCACAAAAACTATGTATAATACATAATAAAAATAGTTAAGAATCTATAAAACATATCAAAGTACTAAACGAATGGTATGATATATATTATTACAAATTAAAGGTTATTTTATTTTGTTTGTCAATTGATATATAGAAGATCTAGTTTGCAAATAAAATTAAACAAGATTTGACACTTGTAAGTATGGTCAAAGACTCAAAGGTAATTTATTGCATATTTCTATAATCATAATATATATAAGATTTTATTGCATAACCCCATTATGGTAGTTTAATATATTAGTCTATAATCATAATATAATATGACAACATTGATTGATATTTGATTCACTTCTAACGAGAAATCTATTATCTCTTGCTTTTATTTCAATATTGAATTTTCTCAGATATCATTTGTAACTCGTTGTGCCACATCATTAACAACTAAAAAAACAAAAA